GCATGTTTATAAGTTAGAATAAATTGGGGCTGGAGAGATGGCTTAGTGGTTAAGAGCACTGGCTGCTCTTGCAGAGGATCCAGGTTTGATTCTCAGCCCCAACATGGCAGCTAACAACTGTTTATAACTCCAGTTTCAGGGGATCTGAAGCCCTCTTCCGAACTCTGCTGGCACTTTACAACAGGGGGTGCACCTACCTACATGTAGGCAATATACTCATACACATAAAATAAAGCTAATAAAATAAGTTAGAATAAATCTAGAAGGATATCTGTTTTCAAACTTGTCAGTGGGCTGATTTTAATCTAAATCTAAACAGCTTTTAAAAATGAATTTAAGCTGGGCATGGTGGCGCACGCCTTGAATCCCAGCACTTGGGAGGCAGAGGCAGGCGGATCTCTGTGAGTTCAAGGCCAGCCCGGTCTACATAGTGAGTTCCAGGACAGCTGGGGCTACAGGGAGGCCCTGTCTCAAAAAGACCAAAAAAAAAAAAAAATTAACTCTAAAATTTTTATGTAAAAATAAAATTATAAGAATTATCTGTTAAGACATTCTTTAAGAAGAAAGACTTATTTTTCTAGATACAAAGCCTTACTAGGAAACTGGGGATTTGGTGGTATTCTAGTTTGCTTTTCATTGCTGTGATAAAACACTGACCAAAAATAACTTGGAGAGGAAAGGGCCTACTTGTTTTATATGTCCTGATCACATTCCATCCCTGACGGGGAGCTAAGGCAAGAACACAAGCAGGGCAGGAACCTGGAGGCAGAAGCTGAAGCTGAGACCATGGAGGAATGCTACCTACGGGTTGTCTTCCTTTGGCTTGCTCAGTTACTTTCTTTATTCAGTCCAGACCCACCTGTCCAGGGATAGCACTGCCTACAATGGGCTGGGTCCTCCTATATCAATTAACAGTTAAGAAGATGACTTGCAGACATGGCCACAGGCCAGTCCAGTGGAGGAAATTGAGGCGCCCTCATCCCAGGTGTGTCAAGTTGACAACTAAAGCACAGGTCGGTGCCAGGTGAGTAGGAGACAATAGGTCAGTGGAGTAATGTAAAGAACCTAGAAAGAGAACAGCATATGGGGTGTCAGACTTCCCATAGTGATGGCATGGAGCACTGGAGTCATTTAAATGAATATTCATGGGAGAAATGGGACTTTTTACTTCAACCTCATATTATTCACAAAATCAGTTTTACACAAAGTCAGTCTCAGTTGTATCATTCCAAATGCATACGGATAGCAATAAAGCTATGTGAAGATAAATACAGAAGGATTTGTTGATGATCTTTGGGACAGAGACCTTCTTTGAACCAAACCTAAAGCATTGGTCATAAAAGAAAAAAAATTGTAATAAAAATAAGAACTTCTGATTATTGAAAAATCATTAAGGCAGGCATAAAGCAGGAGAAGACATATAGCAGGCCTTCTGGATCCCTGGACTCTGGAGAGCAAACACGAGGAAAATTAATTGCATCCATACCGAACATGGACAGACTTTTTCCTGTCACAGTTCCTAAACGATGCAGTCTAACTAACTGTACAGCACTTACATTTTGCTAGCTATTGTAAATAACCTAGAGGTGCTTTGAAGTAAACAGGATAATGTGTATCGGCTCTGCAAATACTACACTATTTTGTATAAGACAGTTGAGCACCCATGGATTTAAGTATCTGTGGGAGTCCCGAGTCTGATCCCCAACAGGTGCTAAGGGACACATCAGCCAACAAGTTTCTTACTTAGAATACACAATGAACTCTGTTTAGAAATTGAAATAGGTTGTGATAGAAAGAAGATATCCAAATAACCAATAAATCTAAAAAAAAGCCATTATTCACCAGAGAATACAAATTAATATAGTATTCTTACATGCAACAGTGAAATACTGCTAAACACTCAGCCCAGAGGTTAAAACTAAACTGCCAGTGAAGCTGAATGCTGGTGAGGATGTGGCGCTCTCAGATGTGCACCTTTGATGCTCCACTAATGGACGTGGAAACTGATGAAGCCATGTTGGAACAGAACATATGCCTCCCACTCAGCTCTGTGCTCATGAGGAGCTTGTTCATGGAGGAAAGGAATCACAGACAAGAACGTTTCTTGTCATGATTCTTGTCATCACTTGAAAATTGAAAATAATGAAAATAGCTATCAACATTATGTGACAGCCACACAAAGGAATATTACAGCAAAGAGAGTGAATTATAGTACACAGAATAGTGGATGAATCATAAACGTGGTGCGGAGTGAAAAGTCAGAGACTTAAAAAAACGGGCAGAAATAAACTACAGGGGCTTAAGGGTCCATGCTGAGTAGGTAAAGGCAAGAAAGTGATTATCATAAAAGTCAGAAGTAGTTCTTTTTCTTTGGTGGACAGAATGGTAACAATTGAGAGGGGATGTGAGGGGAGCTTTGGGGACAGTGGCAGCATGGCTGTCATGGAGCAGAGGAACGACAAAACAAAAGAGTGACTGTCGGGCAGATTTAAGCCTCCCTCACCAATGGCACTTGAAGCTAAAATCAATGGAGCAGTGACCTTAAAGTTCTGAGAGAAAATTGATTTTCAACTCCAAAGACAGACTATCAATCAAGTGTGAGGGCAGAGTAAGATCGTTTTATCTTTTTGTATGTTTTCTGGGGACATTCCTTGAGGATGTACTCCAACAAGCAAGACAGCACAAAAGAATGTAATAACAAGGTGGCCAGCTGACTACAAGAGGCCAGTGAAGAGAGGCTTCAGGATGACAGCCGTGAGGCAGGCTTTGAGAGGTGCTCCCAGAATGTGTCTTCCAAAAAGATTGGGGATTCTAAGCATTCATTGATCATGTGAGTTGAAGCTACACAGGACTGGGAAAAAATGCATTAGAAAGTGGGAGGAAATCTTGAAAAAGGCCTGGTCTATATAAAAAACCAAAAGGACATGGTATCTGAGCAGCTGATAGACTGTAAGAGCAGAGAATCCATTTTCCCTTGATGTTGAAAACATTCTGGGTTTTTGTGTGTGATTGGCTTCAGTGGTCATGTGATCTTTGGAACACGAAATGTAATCCCAACTCTGCAATTAGTAATATTTACACCCGCAGATGTACATTCCTGTTGGCTGTCAGTTTTTATTGACAGCTTGAAGAAGCAGCACAGAGGCTTAGCAATGAATATAAAGTGAAGTGTTAGCAAGCTGGACAAGGTGTGGAGGGAAAGAGGAGGACAGAGATGGATGAGAACAAGGATGGAGTTTGATACACGTATATAATGGGGAGTCAAGAGGCTTCTTTGAAAGGTGGTGGAACCTGATTAGGTGTGTTAACGCAATTACAAAGGAACCCTAAAATACCATGAGAACCAAGCTGGGAGGATTGGGGATTTCAAGTGAGTATCTAATCCTTGGTTTTCATAATAGAAAGTGGTCATATTTTTGAGTTAAAAGGTAATCACAAGAGCCAAAACCATGGATAAGTGAAGGTCATTGTTCCTGGAGTTGGAAATGAGTGCCTTGTGCTTAGAATTAGACCATTTGACACATTTAAAAATAACAAAAAATTTTAATTGACAATGGTGTGTGTGTTTATTATGTATTTTAAAATATATGTACATTGTAGAATGGCTAAATTCAGCTAATTTACATATACACTGCCTTACATTTTCTGTGGTGAGAACTTAAAATCTATTCTTTAAACAATTTTCAAGAGTAAATCTACTCTCAACAATTTTTAAGAATGTGGTACAGTATTATTAATTGTAGATACCATGTTATACAGTAGAGCTCTTGAATTTATTTATAACTCCTGTCTGTCTGAAAATTCAGACAAAAACTTTTGATATCAGAAGGATATATCCAAGAAATAAACAGATAAAAATGTACACATATATATATATATATGTACATTGAATGATCTCTTCCATAGGTTTGTCTTCAACATCTTATGATTCATCTAAGTAGTAAGTTTGCATGTGTGCATGTAGATTCATGTTATGTGTGTGCACATACATGTAAGTATGAACCAAATTAAATATCATGCCTTTAGCCAATTCTACAATGGACAGCCTTTAACTTGAAAGCAGAATATTTTAGAGTTGTTTGGCAGAAAATATTATTAATAGAAGTGAAGGATAAACAGTGTTGTAAACTAAACAGAATACACCAATAGAAGCAGTATATAAAATGACGCCTGGGTTCTTGGGTGGTCTTCAGCAGCTCTGAGCCCCTAATGAGTCATTGGTAGGTCTTCCCACTAACAACACTATTCAGTGCTGACTTGAAACCTGAAAACGTGTAGCCAGGCCAGTTGGTTTTTCGTGTCCAATTTCTGGAGGAAAATGAATAGCACATTCCATGAGGGAATGGGAGCTGCTGGAAAAACGGGCTTTAGATTTTACTCTTACTATAAAAGGAGGCGGTGTTTCTAGCAGAATTTTATATATAGCAAGTGCTTACATTGGGGATTCGTATCTTGGGAGTTTACCATGAACTGAGACTTTGGCTTCTGTTTCCTTTTTAGATTCTTTTGCCTGGGAAACACAATTAATCAAAACTTAGATTTATTAAGTTCTTTCCATGAGCTCAACCACTTCATCTGCTGTGATACTTCAAAATATACTGATATTTTAATCAGTGATAACTGCAATGTTTTCAGTTTCTTGACATGTCTAAACTGAAGATTTCATTTCTTGACCTGTGTTACATGCTTTGAATTAAATTACCTGGTTCTGAACCTGCTAATCTCAACACAGCTCACGTAATGAAATTCAATGAGCAAAGAAGTGCCCAGTCCCTTTCTACCTACAGCTCAAGCGCTGGTGCCTCTGGGGAAGAGTTAGTCCACCTTGCAGCCTTAGCTACTTGGGCTTTCATATGTACATGGCCTCTGGTTGGAAAAGAGCAAAAATCTTCCTTATTTGCTACTCAGTTTAAAAGGTTATACATTGAATTCATACTCTCCATTGCTATTTTTTCTCAAAACTATTCTAATAGTCTGTTGATTATATTTCCTAATTATAGTGCTGCTTTTGATACAGTTCTTGGGATAAATGTTGCAGTCAAGAAACTAAGCCGTCCTTTTCAGAATCAAACTCATGCAAAGAGAGCATACCGTGAACTCGTCCTCTTAAAATGTGTCAATCATAAAAATGTAAGTTCTGTATGTTTCTTCTGTGTGTTTTGCTATCAGTGATGTGATCATCTGCACTCAGACCTAAGATAAACTAATGATAAGGGTAACTATTAAAATGATTATATCTTGTTGATAAAATTATTTCTAAAACTATTACATCTTTTTATTAGGGGACATGCAAATGCCACAGCACATGTGTGGAGGTCACAGGATAACTTGCAAGAGTTGGTTCTCTTTCTACTATGTAGGACCTGGGAATTGACCTCATGTCCGACATCAGGCTTTGCGGCAAGTGCTGAGAGTCTTAACCCTGGGAAAACTGAAGTTCAAAAGAGGGCTCATGGTCCATAGGAATTTAAGCCACTCAACTAAGGAGTGCTAATTAGTCCTGTGACCATTTGATTTTCACTTTTCTTTTAAAAAGGAACAAATACTGACCTAACAAAATGAGAAACTAGACAGTTTGGAGGAAAAGTTGTCTCAGTAGCTTTTTAAACTTTGCATTTGGAGTTTTAAATACACATTATCAGATGATTTTACATTCAAAATAACTGTACTTGGCATCACCACAGAAATCAAAGCCCTGAATTTTAGGGAGAAATACATGTCTCTAGAAAATAAGGTTTTGCTCAGGTTTACTGTGTGTCCTGTTAGTGGTTTTCGGGTATAGTTTTGATAAACATGCCATATGGTGAAATCATGAAAATGGAAAATCTGGAAGAGATTGTGTGTGTGTGTGTGTGTGTGTGTGTGTGTGTGTGTGTGTGTGTACACATGTGCCCGTGTAGAAACCAAAGGTTGACACTGGCTATCTTCTTCATTCACCGTCCACTTTGCTTCTTGAGACAGGGTCTCTCTCAGCCTAGAGTTCATCCATTCAGCTAGGCTGGCTGGTCAGTGAACTCCAGGGACAACTTGCCTCTGCCTGCACCCTCCATGCTGGGGTTACAGATGCACACCACTGTGCCTGGCTTTCTACATGGATGTTAGGTGTCCACATTCAGGTGTTCATTCTTGTGTGGCAGGCACTTTACCCACTGAGCCTTCTTCCCAGACCCTGGAAGAGGTTTAGAAGATCAGTTCATGACATCCCTCTTCCCATTTCAAATTACACTAAACCCTGTATGTCTCTCTGTTTCAACATGTATGCTAGATCTTTCTGCTCTAGGGTCAGTAAATCTGAAACTAAGATTGCTTCATTCTTTTGTCATATTGTTTTTTAAATTTGTTTGGAGCTGGGAATCCAACCCAAGAGCTTGCATACACTAGGCGAATGCCCCACTGCTAAGCCACATCCCTGGCCTTCATTCATTCTTTTGAGTCTGTGGTTTGAGTTGGTTTTAATTTATTCAGTACATGTTTTATTTTGCTTTTTTTAGGTTACAAAAATATATCATTAATATTTTTAAAAATTCAAGTAAGGTAAGTCAGGCATGGTAGTACACACCTGTAGTACCAGGACTTGGGAGGCAGAGGCAGGTGGATCTCTCTGAGTTCGAAGCCAGCCTGGCCTACATAGTAAGGTTCCAGGCCAGCTGGGGCTACACAGAAACCCTGTCTCAAAAAGACCAAAAATAGGGCTGGGCATGGTGGTGCACGCCTTTAATCCCAGCACTCGGGAGGCAGAGGCAGGCGGATCTCTGTCAGTTCAAGGCCAGCCTGGTCTACATAGTGAGTTCTAGGACAGCTGGGGCTACAGGGAGACCCTGTCTCAAAAAGACCAAAAATAAAATAAAATAAATAAATAAATTCAAGTAATGTAAATTAGAAAGCAAAAATCACTAAGTCCTGTAGCCACACATCACTAGCACGAACATTTTAATGAGCATGTTTATACACATATACACACATACAGAAACAGGATCAGTTATGTTGTTCTTCCTCTTTTTTCTCCCCTGACACGATGTTAGTAGATTTCATATACTTTAAGCAACATACCTATAATACCTATAATCCATTTTATTTATTTATTTATTCATTTATTCATTCATTTGTTTGTTTGTTTGTTTATTTATTTATTTGAGGTGGTTCCCCATAGCCCCAGCTGGCCTGGAACTTGCTATGTAGACCAGGCTGGTCTCAGTATCACAGAAATCCACCTGCCTTGAGTGCTGGGATTAAAGATGCATGCCACCATGCCCAGCTATAATCCATTTCTAAATAGTTGTCTCATTCAGATATATAGTAATTTAGTTAACAAAGCATTTGTTGTTGGGTAGATTGTTTCCAGGCTGTTTTTTTTTTTTTCCCCCTGTTATAAGCAATTCTGCAACAAATATCCTTATTCACAAAACTTAGCACACTTACACAGGCAAATTCTTGGTGAGGATTGCTGGTTAGACAGTATATACACTTCTGATTTTATTCATGCTGATAAATTGATGTCAAGGAAGACACAGTTTCACATTTCCATGAAAAGTTTCTGAGAGTATCTTTTACTTCAGAATCCCCCAGTACTACATAGTGCTGAGTGGTTTTCCTTTTGCCAAACTGACAGATGATAAATAATCTTATTTTTAACTGTGAAGTTGAATTTCTTTTCATATGTTTATTAGTTTTGTTTTTTGAGTGTGTGTGTCTGTGTGTGTGTGTGTGTGTGTGTGTGTGTGTGTGTGTGTACCTGCATGTTTACATGTGTGGGCACACCTATATGTGCAGCTGTTTGTGCATATGAGGAGGTCATGTGTGGACATCAGATGTCTTCTTGATCACTCTCACTTTCTACAGTGAGGTAGAGTCTCTTGAGCCCACAGCCCACAGCTGATTTGGCTGGTCTAGCTAGCCAGCTTGCTCCAGGGATCCCGTTTCTGCCTTCTAAGCTCAGGAATGACAGGCGGGCTGCCACAACCACTTGACATTCGTGTGGGTGCTGGGAGTCCAAACTCCAGGCCCTTGCTGAGTTGTTTTCCCAGCCCCAATTATTTTTATTTTATTGAAATTTTGCTTTTTGTGATTGTGGTTCCATTTTTTTAAGCTGTTGATGTCTTTTTAATACATGTGTAGGTGGTTTTGTATGTTAAAACTATAAGCCTTTTTTTTTTTTTGTATTTGGATTTTACTGTGTAGCCCATGCTAGCCTTGAACTCTGTAGCTGAGGTCAAACTTGCAGATCTCTCTCCTGCCTCAGCTTCACAAGTGCTGAAATGACAGATAGGTGCTACCATACCCAGCTTTAACTGTTCTTTTCTCCCATTTCTTCCATTCGACCTCATATATGTTGCTCTATCCATGCAGATATTTTTCTGTTTAATTTTGGCTTTGTTTTAATGTAGTCAGGTATCCTAGTTTCCTGTCATGCTTAGAAAAGATTTTACTGTACTTGACAAGTATAATTGTTTACCCATATTCTAATGTTAGACTTCAATGTTTTAGACTTGAATCTTTGTTCCATTTTCTTTATCAAATTGAAGGGAGGATGCAGTTTTGCTTTTTCCCTTGATTTGCCAGTCACCTGGGTTCTATACAGTGAGTAATTCATCCTTCCCTTATTCATGTAAGAGATTGAGGATGTGTGTTTGAAACCCATTGTTTGCAAGCACGGAGGCCACACAGGAGCTCTGCAGTGAGGTCGGCTCTTTAACCCTCTTAAGGAAACATGTAAGGCCCTGAGGCATTTCATCTTTGTGAGACCATAAAATACAAGTTCAGCCTTCATATTTCAAAACCTTTTAAAAATGTGCATGTAGTACTTAAGTTTCCAGAGCTAGTATATTACTTTTCCAACCATTATTCTTATCCTGTTATATTCAAAAAAACATGTTTAAATTCTATAATGATTTAAAATTACTAGAGACATATAAGTGATTCTATTGAAAGTACATCTTATTTTCAATTGATGTTTAGCTTTTTCAAATGTCATATAAGTGTTTTGACAACAGCCATAGTAATATTAAATATTGAGTTCTGCAGTGATTTTCCCCACTTTCAATGCATTTCGATGTTCAGCTCAATTTTTATAATCAAGTAGTCATCTGACATACTGAAATATAATTAATTTTCTCTTTCCAGATAATTAGCTTGTTAAATGTGTTCACACCACAAAAAACTCTAGAAGAATTTCAAGATGTGTAAGTATCTTTTGCATCAGACTGAAAATTTGGAAGGTAACCAATTTTTATGCTTGCAAACATAGGTGGCCATCCATTTACAATAATGTCATATGCCATTTTGTCTATGGGTGATAAATACTAAGAAAAATAGACAGTTATATGCAGTTATTTGTGCTTAGAGGGTTGTCCTCCTTAGAACAGAAAGAGGACAACTGAGAAGAGTTCGTCAGAGCAGATAGTGACCATCAGTGCTGCTCCTGTTTATTAAACCATGAAATACTCTAATCCCTGATAGCCAGGACTGCAGGGTTCAGGTGTTTACAGTATTATTTGAGATGATTATGTCATCAAATAGTATGTTTCCAGACTCCTAAATAGAATTACCTTATTGCAAAGTAAAATATTAATTTTTCATATTGAGACTAGTACCCATTTTTTTCCTAAATTTATTGGTGTATTGAGTGATTCAACAGCAGACATTTGACAACTTACTATGTGGACTCCCTTAAAGATGTTGTGCATTAGTGAACAACACAAAAATCCCTGCCCTTGCTTAAGAATGACAGGAGGTAAACTCCCTCCTAGAGCCTGCCAGGGAAGAGGTAGACATAAGGACAATTTGTAGTCCATGAGCTTGTGTTCCTTGCATTGAGTAAGAAGTTAAACTGTACAGCTTCCTGAAGCCAGCAGCTTGCCTGGGTGGACTAAGCTCCAGGGGACTATGAGCATCTCTCAAAATGTCCTGTAACTGTGGTACGTCACCTGTCCTCTAGATCAAGGAGGCCGGGGAGACCCCACCAAATGGACTTGAACCAGTGTCAAGTCTACAGAGGAGGGTCAACACAGAGGAAACATTTCTTACATGCTTCCAAGTGAAGCCAGCCATGGTCAAGGAAGACTTTTGACTTATCTTCGCATAGATGGAACTGGTAAAAGAAAGGAGCCAGGGGCTCCTCCCAAACCCATGTGACCCCTGAGGAACAGGTCCTCAAATGACCTTAAGAGTAAAAATAAATTGGTTTATCTGGGCCAAGTGTATGGTTTTAAATACCCAAAAGGAAAGTATAACCAAACATTAAAGGGATCAATATAATTCTTAAAGAGTCTATGTGTATAGCTAAAAGCTACAAACCAAGAAACAATGCCAGACAAGAAATACCTTCCTTTGAGTTGTTGGCCAGGGTGGCCCAAGAGACTCCTAGACAGTAACCTACCATAGAACTGGGAAAATGGACAGCAGATCCCAATCTTATCTAAAGGAACATTGGCAACTGATTGCTGCTAGATGAGGAAGAGCTGATCTTCCTAAAACAAAGAACTCTAGATAGACTGACTAGATTCAGTGGATAGACAAGCACTGGAGAACAGCTGGGGGCGCTGACAACACACTGGACAGTAACAGGGATTACAGAGTATATGGGCTCCAGTGGGGCAGGGGGAACTATGGGAAGGTATTTGGGATGTGGGTATGTAGATGAATAAGATTGTTTGGGATGCTCTGCATGAAATACACACAAAAAATCAACAAATAAAAAAATGAGTTATATTTGAGGAAAAAAAAAGTTAAACTGGTTCAGGAGGTCAGAAATGCTGGGGCTGAGAGTCAGGCTGCAGTTTAAAATAAGGGAAATGTTAGCCAGTGTTCTCCAGAGAGAACCAGTATGATACATGAGAGAAGATCTTAGGAAAGTCAGCTCACAGGAATATAGTGTCTAAGAAATGCCAGGATGAGCCGTTTGCCAGCCAGAGCCCCTAGGAAGCTGCTGGCATGGCTCAGCCCAAGGCCCTAAACCACAAAACCAGGGAAGGCACTGGTAGCACTTTTAGTCTGAGGCCAAAGACCTGAGAACCCAGGGAGCTCCTAGTATGTGAGTCCTCGATACTGAAGCCTGGGAGCCTAGAGTTCTGTTTTCCAAGACCTCAGGAAAAGTCTCTCAGCTCTTGGAGAAGAGAACCCTTCACCCTCTACATCTGGTCTTTCCAGAGCCTTGCCTAATCATGTGTTCACCACATTGAGGGCTGATCTTCCTTACTTGGTGCATTCAGACTCCCCTCTAATTACCTCTAAAAACACCCTCCAAGACATACCTCTGCTAAGCCTCACCAGGCCTGAGTACAGTATTCCTTAATCTAGTCAATTTGACATCTAAAACGAACCATAATGGGGTAGCTAGGGAAAGTTCTCAGTGAGTTTGTGGCAGTTGAAGAAAGCCCTAAAGGAGATGAAGGAATTTGTCCTACAGATTCTTGGGATGAGGTGGAATTGTGATAGAAGGAATGGACAGTCCAGGGGAGCTTTGCTGGTGTGTGCTGTGACCAACAAGAGGCCTGTATGGCTGGAGTGGGAAGAACAGAGGGAGGCAAAGTGGGTGTGCCTAGAGAAGTAACATGGCCTGCAGAGGTAGAGGCCCCAGACCCTGCAGAGGCCTCTACACCACCCTAAGGAAATTGAGCTGAGATTTCCAGCAGAGTAGTGATCTCACCTGACATGTGTTTTTTTATTTTTATTTTTATTTTACATGTATGAGTGTATTGCCTGCATGTAGGTAAGTGCACCCGTGTCATGCAATGCCCGCGGAAGTCAGAAGAGGCTATCGGATCCCCTGGGACTGGAGTTACGGACATTTGTTAGCTGCCATGTGGGTGTTGGGATTCGAACCCGGGTCTTCTGCAAGAACAACCAGTGTTCTTAGCCACTGAGCCATTTCTCCAGCCCAGTAATATGTTTTTTTTAAAAAAATATTATTTTATGTGTGTGAGTGTATTGTCTGCATGTATGTAAGTGCACTCGTGTCATGCAATGCCCACGGAGGACAGAAGAGGACGTCGAATCCCCTGGAACTGGAGTTACAGACAGTTGTTAGCTGCCATGTGAATACTGGGATTTGAACCCAGGTCTTCTGTAAGAATGGCCAGTGTTCTTAACAGCTGAGCCTTCTCTCCAGCCCCTCACCTGACATGTTTTAAAAGAACAACTGATTTCTGCGTTGAGAATCCACTGTATTAGGTAGGGGCAAAAAAACCTAGTTAGTTCTGGGAGGAGAGCACAGCAATCCATATGAGAGGTTAAGGTGTGTTGGGATAAAGGCCTGAGAATGGACCCCAAGCTCTTTTTAAACATTTTGTTTATTTTTTTATGTTAATGAGTGTTTTGCCTGAATATATGTTAAGTGCACCTGTTTGTGAGATGCCCACAGAGGTCAGAAGAGGGTGTCACATCCTCTGGAGATGGTGTTATGGACAATTGTTAGCCATCATGTAGGTGCTAGGAACCAAACCTGGATCCTCTGTAAGAGTAGCCAGTGCTCTTAACTGCTGGGCCTCTCTGCACACCTCGACACCAAAGCTCTTTAAAGGCAGAGCCATGGTATTTGCTGATAGCTAGATGTGAGAGAATTGAGAGCCATGCGCTAGAGGTTGGGCCTAAGCACCTGCAGGAAGAACAAGTTCTCAGCTGAAGTGGGAAAAGCCAGAAGACTAGATGGGAGTGCTGAGCAGTGGAGTACAGTATTAGACAGGGATTCAGAGATGTCCATTGGCTAGCCAAGTGGAACTGTGAAGTAGGCGGGCAGGTGATCCTGGCGCTCAAGAGAGGCCTGGACTGAAGAAAGGAATTCAGGAGTCTGTAAATGGCTCTTAAAGGCATGAGGTGAGTGGAAAGCACCCAGGAAGTGAATGTGAGAGAAGAGCCAGGGTCCAATTATAGGACACTCCAACAGGAGAGTTGGGTGCAGAAAGGGGCAAGACCATTGCAAGGATTACAGCACTGGCCTTTGGATTTCCACAATATGGAAGTCAGTCATCAGTGGCCATGAGAGATAGTTTTAGTAGGGGCCGGGGGGAGTACACATAAGAATGGTATTATGAGAAAATGGGAGCATTAGAGATGGTAAGTCTAAGCAACCCTCTCAGGAGCTAGGCTTGCAAAATGCTAGCTTATAAAAAAGGCTTCTGGTGGAAAGTAGGTTCAAAAGTTTCCTAATTGTTGGGGCTGGAGAGATGGCTCAGTGGTTAAGAACACTGACTGTTCTTGCAGAAGACCCGGGTTCGAATCCCAGCACCCACATGGCAGTTAGCAACTGTCCATAACTCCAGTTCTAGGGGATCTGACAGCCTCTTCTGTTCTCCCTGGGCATTTCATGACATGGGTGCACTTACCTACATGCAGGCATAACACTCATACACATAAAATAAAAATAATAAAATATTTTTTTTAAAGTTTTCTAATTGTTGTATGATCACTCTTAAAAAAGAGACTTTATTTTTAAAGCGGTTTCAGCTGTATATCAAAATTGAGCAGAAGGTTCAGAGCTCCCATTTACCCATACATGACCTGCTTATATCAGCAGCCCTACCGGAATCCTGCCCTGTAAGGTTCTGAACCTGCAGCATGTTTACATGCTGGAAGAGAGATCAAATAGAAGCATCCTGATTAGCACAGAAGTAAACAGAAATGTAGGAAACTGTATGATAGTCTATTTGTGATGGAATAAAAGCTGTTTAGTTTTTAATTTGAAAGACGTTGAGTGAGTTGTTTTTTTTTTGTTGGTTTTTTTTTTTTTTTTGGTCTCCTTGAGACAGGGTCTCCCTGTAGCCCCAACTAGCCTGGAACTCACAGAGATCTGCCTGTCTCTGCCTCTGAGTACTGGTATTAAAGGTGTACACCCAGCTAAGTTAGTTGTTTTTAAGTTCTTTAGAAAGTTTTATAAGGTTCTATTTATTATACATTTTATTCTTTTCAAGATACTTTATTAAAAATAATTTACCTTTTCATTTTAGCCAATACACTGATTATATCCTAAGTTGTTACTATTTCATAAGAATTCTGATTTAATAATCATGAAGGACATTTTTATAATATCCACATAACACTGTTGGTCTTTTTTGAATCTTCAGGTACTTGGTTATGGAATTAATGGATGCTAACTTGTGTCAGGTTATTCATATGGAGTTGGACCATGAGAGAATGTCCTACCTGCTTTACCAGATGCTCTGTGGTATTAAGCATCTGCATTCAGCTGGCATCATTCATAGAGTAAGTAAGGATATAATAATTGTGTTTTCAAAATAATCCTCATTTAGCAGTCATAATCATCTAGTCACAACAGAACTTTGTGTGTGGTGTATCCGTTTGTATGTGCATGTGTGTGAGTGCGTGTACAAAACCCAGAGCAAGACACTGGGTGTTCAGCTCTGTTACTCGGCCTTCTCTCCTTCAGATAGGGCCTCTCACTGAGCACTGGGGTCTGTGTGGGTACACCCGACTTTTTATGTGGGTGCTGAAGATTTGAACTCAGATCTTCATGCATGTATAGCAGGTGCTCTTCCCCATCAAGCCATCTCCCCAGCCCCAAGAACTTAATTTCTTAAAACATTTTACTTTGAAAATCCAAGTAAGCTACAGAATCATATTGTGTGCAAAACACTGTTCAGATCAACACCATTTTGCCCAAACCCCGTGCACTGTAGGCCCGGAGATAGGGAGCCATAGGCTCCTGCCGCTTAGACTGAAGCTGCACAGGAATTTTGATTTCTTTTTCTTTTTAACTTTTAAATTTGAAGTAATTTAAATCTTAGAGAAAATTTGTGAGACTAGGACAAAGTACCAGTTATCCCCCAGGTTGACCCAATGTTAATATTTTTGCCACATTTGAAATCTCTGTTTTGGTGAGTAAGGGATTTAGATTTGGGGAAAGAGAAAGCCAGGAGCCAGGCAGTATCATGGTCTCTCTACTGTTGGAAAGAACAGTTTAAAGACCAGAGAGATGCAGTGTGACTGACTCCCTCAGCTGGTTTCCTAAGTTTTTAATCTGTACTGCTGTGTAAACAGATAGAAATCATGATAGAAATTTTAAAGACAGTACTCAAAATGTGGAGTGAGACAAGGAGTAGAGATAAGATTTTATTGGAAATATCCTAGTGTTCCCTGAATTACTATTATGCTAATTTTGCTGAGACTGTCTTGAGATTTTATGCTCCCAAAGTGAAAAGCCCTGTTCTGAACTAAACTGTGGGGAAGAAAAGGGTGAGACGCAATGAGGAAGCCTGTTTATTGGAATGTCAGTGCTTTGGGAGCTGACAGAATTCTTTCTGATCAGTAGGGTGGCAGAGCTCTCTAACCCCACCCAGAGACCTGGTAGTCCTGTGAGCTTCCAGACTGTATGGCCTGGGCTGGGTCTCATTCTTGCAGCACCCCACCCCCCACCCCCTACCCCCAAGCTGTTACCAAAGTGTAGCTTTTTTTTTTTTCTTTCTTTCCTTTTTTTTGCGGTCTTTTTGAGACAGGGTCTCCCCATAGCCCCAGCTGTCCTGGAACTCACTATGTAGACCAGGCTGGCCTTGAACTCAGAGATCTGCCTGCTTCTGCCTCCTGAGTGCTGGGATTGAAGGCATGCACCACCACACCTGGCCCAAAGTGTAGCTTTTGCTGCCACCAAGTGGTCACTTCAAGTGATAGAAATTATGATGGCAAATTTACTTTCAAAATAATAGCTGAAAGACTCCTGATGAACCATTTTGTTTCACTTTCTGAAAATTTTAGCTATTTAGAGTCCTCTAAATAACTAAAGACATTCCTTTTGGTGTTAAGATGTTATATTCTCAGGGCTGGAGAGATGGCTCAGTGGTTAAGAACACTGGCTGCTCTTGCAGAGGATCCCGGTTTGAATTCCAGCACCCACATAAATGGCAGCTAATAACCATTTATAGCTCCAGTTCCAGAGGATCTGATGCCCTTTCTGACCTCTGCAGGTGCTGCACAATATGGGTGCACTTACACACATGCAGGCAATACATTCATACACATAAAAAATAAGTATTTTTTTATAGAAAAGATGTTATATTTTCCACTTAACAATACAATGCTTATAAAGTACAAAGCTGTTTCCTCTCCTCCATGCATGCCTTCCTTGTAGAAGGCATGTCTCTTACACACATTTTCTTTTGCGTGTGCTGAGGATGGAACGTAGGGGCCTGGGCAGACTAGGCAAGTGCTTAACCACTGAGCTATGTCTCCAGCCCTTTAAGTGTATGGTTAGAGAAATTTGTGCTTATGATAACTTCTGAGGTTCATAAGCTGTCTTAATTATGGAAGGGGAAATGGTTTCCTTGATTATCCCCTCTTGAGCCCAGAGATAAGTGGAAAAGGAATGTCTTCCAGTTCTTGGAGACTTCTTAAGACGGCATCTCACACATGTCCTTTTTGTGGAACATTTGGTTCTTCAGCCTGGGGTGCCATTCCTGCCTGCAGCAGGTGGGACAGAGCCCAAAGATTTGTATGCTTTGCCTAGCACAGTACTTAGATGCTCATGAAGACCTGTGACCATGGTTCTGTGGCCGCCTTGCTCCTTACCCATCACCCCTGTCATGGCTTGCCACTTTCTCCTGGTTTTCTTGTACCCTCTTGCCCCACACACTCACATATGCATCCACTTGAGAAAGGTGTACACAGTCATTAAGGATTCACTGCCAACAGTGTACAGGTACATTAAACTAGACAACAGGCCCAGGTGGGTGAGGGGCCCCAAGTTAACCCTGAGTGCATCCACCATCTGTAAGCTCTGCTATGTTCTTTTCTTGTCCATAGTACCTTACACAGAGATACACACCTTTAATTTTGCTATTAACATGGTATGGCACATGCGCATTATCTTAGAACTCAGGAGGCTAAGACAGGAGGGTCATAAGTTCTAGGACAGTCTGGGCCACATGATCAAAACTTGTCTCAAAGAAACAGAATGGTTTCAAACTAAACAAAGACTTTAAAGATTTTAGAGAGTGACATGGGGAAAAAGGTAAAGTTTTATCCTCACCCTCACTACTCTACTTTATATAATTCACAAAAGTAGAAAAAGTGCAACCCCTCACAGTACCACCTGGAGACGGAATCCTCTTAATAGAACTGTAACTTGCTGAACAAACTGATTGGTTTGTATTTTTTTTTTTTCAAGGATCAAGTAGTTATGCAAATGTTTATGAAAAACAGTTCCTTCAGCTTGCTCTTACTTCGGTCTCCCTTTTGAAGCATTTGGTTTTATTGTTATTATTGTTTGTTTCTTGCTTTTTTGTGCTGCTCAGGATGAAATCCAGGACCCTGCGCTTGCTAGGCAAGCACTCTACCATTGAACCAGCCCAGCTTTCCTTTTTTTAGTGATGTTTGTCTCTGTATCTCAAGGTAGTGTGTTTAGCTCTCCCTTCATTGACTTTTTTTTCAGTTTGGAACATAAAATATTGATTCATTTCTTTTCTACAAACCCAACCCTCACCCCCCTGACCCTCTTCTCATCCCCATGACCCTCTCCTCATCCCCATGACCCTCTCCCCATCCCCGTGACCCTCTCCTCATCCCCGTGATCCTCTCCTCATCCCCATGACCCTCTCCTCATCCCCGTGACCCTCTCCTCATCCCCGTGACCCTCTCCTCATCCCCGTGACCCTGTCCTCATCCCCGTGACCCTCTCCTCATCCCCATGACCCTGTCCTCATCCCCGTGACCCTCTCATCATCCCCGTGACCTTGTCCTCATTCCCGTGACCCTCTCCTCATCCCTGTGACTCTCTCCTCATTCCTATCTCCAAGGTTAGTTATGACATGAATTTACTTGGCTCAGTATTGTGTTTTATAGCTTCATAACCAGATAAGTTTAACAGCTGAACCTTATATCATAGTTATGTTTTTCCCCTTTGATATTTTGTCCCTTGCGTTAACACTTATCTTCTATTTGTCTGAAGTGTGCATTTATTTGTTTTAAGGAGGATTAGAACTACGTATTTTGTGTGCCTGTGTGTACATGTAGAGGCTCAGAGATCATCCTTAGTTATCCTTCCTCAGGAGCTGTCCATCTTGGTTTTTTGGAGATGAGGTCTCTCACTGGGACAAGCCCCAGAGATCTGCCTATCCTTGCCTTCCCAGTGGTGGATTGCAAGCACCACACCCAGCTTTATGGGGGTGCTATGGGTCAAACTCAGGACCTCATGCTTGCACAGCAAGGACTTTACCAACTGCACCATCTCCCCAATCCTAGACTGTGTTGGAACGCTAGGTTTTCTCCCACCTTTAAAAATCTTCTGCCAGTGCATCCAGATGCCTTAGGTGTTACAGCGGTTCCATTTCAGTAAATCTTAGATTCTCAGTCTTGTTCCCTTTCTGGTCTGGCTGTCCAATACCTAATATAGAGGGGTGCCTTGGGTCTCCCCCATCACTTCTCTTCTTCCCCCTATGTCTCATGGGTTCTTTTCCTTTCCTTCCTTGACTCCTTTCTCAAATTACTCCCTTGTAGTTGATTGCTTAAAAATGCTGTATAAGAGCCAGCAAGATGGCTCAGCAAGTAAAGGCACCTGCCACCAAGTCTGATAAACTGAGTTCAATCCCCAGAACACATGTAGTAGGCGAGAACCAACTCCTGAAAATTGTCCTCTGAACTCCACGCATGTGCTGTGGCATTTACACACACACACACACACACACACACACACACACTCACTCACACAGTAACTGAAAAATGGTGTGTGTGGCGGGGGGGGCTTTTGAGGCCACAAATTTACCACTCACAATTAACAGTTTAGATGGATGTGGAATTCTTATTCACATGTCCATTGCCTTGCAAGTAGAAAATATAGAATCCCATACAGTGAGGCATCGTGCCTTGCTCCAGAGCTTTCTAATGCTCTTTTTACTGATCCTTTATAAGTGTGCTGATTTCATCCTTAAAAACTTGTAAAATGATTTCTTTGTGCTTTGCCCTGACACAGACATTCTCCTCCACTATTTGTGCTAAGCCAGCAGCCCTTTAGTCTGGAAGTGCATGTTGTAGTAAGTGTGGTACTAGGCTTGTAAGTTTGTGTTTCAAAGTGCCCCTTTACTCTGCTCCTTATTCTTTCTCTGAAACACAGGTTAGTCAAAACTCTTTTTATCCTTAAAGTAAGTTCCCTTTTACAGCGTTTTGTTCTTACTGTATGTGTGCACTGTCATCTCTGAGGGTGAACTTTTGAAGTATTTAAGTACCAGTGAATTGATGTTCCTCTCTGAGTTTAGTTT